GGATGGTTCAGCAGACTCTTCAGTGTTGCTGCCTAGCAGGAAAGTTGGCAGAGATAGGCAAATAAAATTAGAAAACCTATGTTTTTAACTAATTCTAACACCACATATACTCTGATATTAAAAAAAAAAGTGTTAACTAGAAAGATTTACATAAAAGCACTCTGACATCAAATAAGAGAAGGGGGCAAGGATAGATAAACAGCTCAGCAAGGAACAAGATTATTAGGGCTTTGGAGTCCAAAAACAGAACAAGCTCTGGCTTGCCTCTGCGGTACCAGGACTTTGCAACTCCATCAGTAACAGAAGATTACCCACCAGGAAACTGCCAATCTTCTAGTCCAGCTAAGTATGCAGAGTTTTTTTTTTTTCTTTTTTTGCTTCTGAAAGGTTGCTGCACCAGTTTTAGAATGAATATTGCCTGTAGTGAGTCCTGTGCAGATTTTTGAAATATCTTTTTTTTTAATGCCGTGGTATTGCCTTAGATGATTATTGTTAATTTAAATATTAATTAAATACCATGTATTATAATGGAAAGAGTTTTGTGACCTACTCTGGAATGTTGATTTGTCAGGGAGGGGAGGATGCCATAAAACAGCCTGTAGAATAGCTGTTCTGTTTTGACCCATTCCCTGTGTTGGCCTGACTTTGACCCCATGATGATATGTTACTCATTTCGGGTGGAGTGTTGCTCTCCAGCTCATCCTTGGGAGTTTGAATTTGGGGCTGAATATGACCCTCTCCACCAGGGCTGTTGTTGTGGAGATTGCTCTGGTGGCATCACTTCATACGGGTGACAATGAGTGAGTCTACTAAAGTGGTGGTCACAGGTAAGGAGGCCATGGGCCTTCGCACGAACCAGGTCCAGAAATAACATCTTCTCAGGATCGTGGGAGCCCGTGTGAAGTGTTGGACCTTGAGGAGGTTTCTCCAGCCCAGCAGCAGTGGTGGAGACTCAGGGTAGTGTCTTGGGGCCTAAACGCAACTATGGAATTGTGAGGAAAGTATTGCAGGCCCTGTCGGGGCTCTGGATCTACAGGGCCACACCCTTGGACTGGGAAACTGTGAAAGCTTCAGAGGTGGCTCTGGGGATTAGAGGGGAAAAGCCACCCACTGGAGGACTGCCTCACCAATGTGGAGACTGCTGGTGTCTAGTCGTGCAGCTGTGGTTTGCCTCAGTAGCCCAGGGACCGCAGAGGCAGTCAGGAACTGCTGGTCAGCCAAGGTTCTCCCTCTTGCCTAGGAAGCACTGAGGCAGTCACCCAAGATTTCCCAGGTGGCGCCTGTGGCATCTGAGACTCCTCCTTTGCAGATCTCATGCAGAGGGAGATGGGTGCTCCATCTCAGGGCACAGCGCTGGGAATGTCTATTGAGTCTGCCCCTCTCTGGCCTGGCAGGGGTAATGCAAAGGCTACTGCTGGAAAGCTGGAGATTGCTTTGGTGGTGTCCTGAATGGGGCTGATGCTATTCACCAGAGCGATGAGGATGGTGTTGGGGGCTGCAGAAACTAGGGACTGGCAGTCCCCAGATATCTGCTGCACCTACTGTCTGGTGCATATCTCTGCACAGACTTGAGCAGCTCCCCTGTTGGCCCAGAGGTCTGCGGCATAGGAGGGAGATGCCTTACAGCTAGAGCCATCTGAAACTTTCATTGCTTTCCTACAGAGCCCCCTCAGGATGCTTCTGTGTAGTATTCAGCTGCCCCTTCCCACTGCTGTGTGAATTCTACTGGGCCCCCGCCTTTAATCTCTAAGATGATGAGTGATACTTATAAGAAAGAATTGGCAATGCCCTGTTTGAGTCAGTAGATGCTATGATGGGCTGTAATGTTGTTCTCCTTGTCAGAAGTTGGTGCTTGGTGTGAAAGCCAACTGCAGAGTTTTTCTTTGGTGCCTGTAATTAGCTCTAGCCCCTCAAAAGAAACACTTGAATGCCCCAGGCAGTGAGTGGGCCCCTGGAGCTCCCAGGGGGTTGCTTGCTTTCTGCCACAGCCGGGGTAGATGGAGGAGTGCATCTGGGTGGGGCTGGGTCCAGTGAGCTCACTTTCGGTCTCTGCAGAGGTAATTCCTAAAACTGACCCAGCAAGAGTCACAGGTCAGCTGGGGAAGGCCACTGGGAAGAGGGCAGAAGCTGCCCACCAAACCAGAAAGCTTGTTTGTGAGTCTGTTGGGTGTGAGTTTTGTCCCCCTGACTCTTCTCCTACCCTGAGCAAATCTTTCTAGGGTTTGTTTGTAGATGGGCACCCAAATTTTCCATGCGCACCAGCAATGGCACTACGGGCCAGCAATTGCACTGTGGGCCCATCCCAGCCTGAGTGCGTGGCTCTCCTGTGGGAGTCAGGTGTTCCACCTGCTTTCCTGTGGGAGGACAGGTGCTCCACCAGTTCTCCACTGCTTGGACCCACAGTGTCTTTCCCTGTCTATTCTGCAAGTTTGAGTCCCTTTTCCTCTGGAGTTTAGCTCTCAATGCCCCCTTTTGTGCCCCCAAGCATCCCCATTGAGTTCTGGGGCTATAGGATTTGGCTGCATGCCTCCCTCACCTGTGCTCAACTTTGAAGAGTGTCAGCAGACAGGGATCTCAAGACTGAGCACTCCTAGGTCCACTGCAGGTCCTCAAAGGAAAAGGCACGGGCCCCTCTCTCTGTAGTAACCTCATACTGGTGGGCACACCAGCAGAGTGCAGGGGCCACTCTTGAAAGTCTTGGTTCAGTGGATCCTCTTAGCTGTAGTGGGCCATGGAGGAGTCGGGGAGGAAAAGAATATAAATGGAAGAGAGATAGCACTGCAGGTTTTGTGGTGTTTCTCCCTGGAAGAAAGCCCACAGGGTACGTCCAAGCTCTGGGATCACACAAACACCCACTGTCTTCTGGGCAGGAGTTGAGAACTGTCTGTGTTGGAACAGGCCGTGTGAAATCTGAAGGGCCAGAGCTCTAGAGAGCAGAGAGAGGGGCCGTGTGAATGGAGAAGCAGTGTGGCATCTGCCCTATCAGTACGGCTATGGGGTCTGATACCTGAAGGGGCTGGAAGCTGATCTTTTACTTTCAAGAGGTTTGCAGTTCAGTGGTTGCAGCAGGTGCTTAGGCTCGTGAGGGTAGAAAAGGTCCTGAGCAACTTGGCAGCTCAGCAACCACGGGAGCTGGTGGGAAGGAGAAATGAAACTGTCACTACTGCCTTCACTGGGCTCAGAGCTTCTCTGGGGTGGATCTCTGCTGGTATTTTGCTGTCCTCTTGTTCTACTTCATAGTTTTTTTGCTGTGAAGTCTCCAGCAGGCTCTGGCACATTTTCCCCTAAAATACACTTGAGGTGTTTCCCCCTCTTCTCTATCTGAGATCTTTCCTTCTCTCTGGGATGACATGACAGTCGATGTCTCTAGTCAGCCATCTTTTTTTGAAAAGGTTATTTTTGTTTCTTTTTCTTTCTTTCTTTCTTTTTTTTTTTTGATACAGCATCTCATTCTGTCACCTCGGGTATAGTGAAGTGGCATCATCATAGCTCACTGCCACCTCAAACTCTTGGGCTCAGAGATCCTCTTGCCTCTGTCTCCCAAGTAGCTGGGACTACAGGTACATGTCATGATACCAGAATAATTTTTCTAATTTTAGTAGAGACAGGGTCTTGCTCAGGCAGGTTTCAAACTCCTGAGCTCAAGCAATCCTCCCAGAATGCTAGAATTATAGGCATGAAGCAACCATGCCCAGCTTTTCTTTTCTTTTTTTTTTTCTGTGTTTAAATGCTGATGGGAAAGATTGAGTCAAAATGAGAGATTCAAGGACAAAACAGTAAAAGGGAGCTACAGGTAGTGGTAGGTCACTGAGAGGAGAGGAGGGGAAGAGAGAATGGACTTATAAATTCTTGGTAAAATACCTTTCTCTGAAAAATAAAAAAACCTTTCTCAGGGAGGAATCACTAATTATTTTGTATCATGTTCCAAAATCTATTTAAAGAGAAAAACATTATTATATTAAGTAGAAAGAAAACAAATAATATTCTTCCAGTATAATCTCAAATCTGTAATACATAGAGTTAAAACTACTGGCTGCAAATACATCAAAATTGGCGTGTTTCTCTCCAAGATCCCATTTTGCTGTAGTTAAAATACATTATGACAAGGAAAAATATAGTTGGAAGACAGTCTTGAAGATGTCATTAGGCTATAAGTGTGAATGCCTACCGAGCTAAGGTGTGGTGGAATTGTTCAGAAGTGCTGTTATATTTAGCAACTTGCTAAAGATTAGAGAAAGGTAATCCAGAGGGAGATAACATAGATAAATGATAGTATGTCATTGGAGTCCCTCTAACAATATTAAATTCAGAAATTACCTATTAAACGTTTTCTCTTGTTCTGCATTTACTTTTCATTCCTATGCATAATCGGATACAAGTGTAATTTTGCTACATTGATATACTACATTGTGGTGAACTCAGGGCCTTCATCTGTACATTGCTGGAGTAATATGCATCATACCCACCACGCAAACTTCCATCGGTTGCTCCCCTTCTACCCACCCCCCGAGTCTTCATTGTCCATTATTCACGCTCTAATTCCATGTGCACATAGTATTTAGCTCCCACTTAGTATTACAAAGGACACGTGGTATTTGTCTGTCTGTGTCTAAGTTGTTCCATTTAGGTCAATGGCCTCCATTCATGTTGCTGCATCAGACACGATTTGGTTTTTTCTTCTCTCTCAATAGCATTCCGTTGTGGAGGTAACCACATTTCCTTCATCCAACAGTAATGTCCAGCATTGCCATTACACTGCTCCTGGGCTTCTCTCACCCTGCCCACACTTATGTGATGATTCTTTCCCCCAATCGGTCGGGTTTCTTGCTGAGACCGGATTTATACAAAGCTCAATAAGTATTTTTGAATAAATGAAACAAAGAATGATTAAAAAATGGTTAAATGGTTCTTCATAAGTTTATACTAAATTTTACACTTACCTTCAATGCATGAGACTGTAGTAATTCTAACTCCAATCAAGAGTCAGTAGATGGGCAGAGACTTCTGGGAGCCGAAAGTGGTAATTGTGTCTGTATGGGGCTGCAGTGTCAGACCTCGGCTAAACGTAAAGGATGACCACAGCAGCCAGGCCAACTTTTGAACCTGCCAGAAGTGGAAGAGGAACAGGAGAAGGTGATTTGAGTCAACTCTCAAAGCAGTATTCAAGCAGAGACCTACCCTCTCATACAAAGATAAAGTACAGACAGACAGCTCAGGATGCTCCTGAAGAGGTGCGCAACCGTGACTTCAGGAGAGAGTTGGAAGAAAGAGAGAGAGCTGCTGCAGGAGAGAAAAATAGAGACTGCCCAACCCGAGAACATACAACCTCCTCTTTAGTGTCTAAAAAGCCTCAGTTAGACCAGATTCCTGCTGCCAACCTTGATGCAGATGACCTGCTAACAGACGAGGAAGATGAAGATTTTGAAGAAGAAAGTGATGATGATGGTACTGCAGCTCTTCTTGCAGAACTGCAAAAAATTAAAAAAGAAGGAGCTGAGGAGCAAGCCAGGAAGGAACAAGAGCAAAAAGCTGAAGAAGAAAGGATTCGTATGGAGAATATTCTGAGTGGAAATCCTCTCTTAACTCTCACTGGCCCATCCCAGCCTCAGGCCAACTTCCAAGTTCAAAGAAGGTGGGATGACGATGTTGTTTTCAAGAACTGTGCAAAAGGTGTAGACGATCAGAAGAAAGACAAAAGGTTTGTAAATGATATACGCGGTCTGAATTTCACAAAAAGTTCATGGAGAAATATATGAAGTAGCACAGTTTTATGTGCTTAATTAAAGACTGTAAAATGTGAAGGATCATTTTTTTCTTTTTCCTTGTCTAAATTGTGTATAGGTTTCCCTAATTTTGAATTCCAAAATATCTTTTTCTGTAGAGATACCTTATTTGATACTGGACTTCGAGTAGATTTAACTGATTTCCATTCTCTCACTTTCCTCTATTTTCTTTTTAATATGGGAAAAGGGAATCTACTTGTAATAAATGTTTGTCATCGAAATAACCAATCTGTGTCCCCAACTTTTTCTTAAAGCTTATGTGGCTTATAAAACTTTGCTACTAAGCAATTTAATTTTTGTATTGTGTTTTTTTGTGCATTAACTTTCCCCCCCTCACTTCTCTCACATTGATTTAAGGTCAATTCACTTGTAATAATTTCTCTATGTGTTCTTTAAGAGTACAATGAAAGACTAGAAGGATTCCTTTTGGGACACATGTTGGTATGAAAGGGTCATCAGTCAGTAAGTGCCTCAAGTGTGTGTCTGGACTGGCACCTCACTAGCATCTCACTTTTGCAGTCACCCCTTTTTCCCCTGGGCTCAAGAGGAGAGCTGTGTAAACAGTTCTGGGAAGTATGTAGCACTCACCTGTGTTTGCCTGGACACTCACCTGCCATGTTTCTCTGAAAGAGAACACTGACATGCCTGAGGTACAGAACCTGGGAAGTTTCAGATCAAACAAAGCATAAAATAAAATCTTTGGAAATAGGAAAGAAAAAAGAGTCAGTAGATATTCATATTTTACAGAATTTAGAATGTGTCAGTTTACTTTTAATGGATATTAATTTAAAATTCTAAGCTACTTGGAATGTTAAAAAAATCGGTGTGTTCATCTTTTTTCCAAATGTATTTTAAATTCATAAAGATTTAATTTCTCAGTAAGCTTTACAGAGCTTATTCCATAATAATTAATGTAAAATAAATCAAGGAAATATCACCTTTTCAATAGTTTTTGACACTCAATAATTAATTGAAGACATATTGTTAGTAGATAAAAGGTGAATAATTTGATTTAATTTGAATAAACATTTTTCCTTTATTTGTTAGCATGATACCTGAATAAGAAAAAAAAAAAAAACCCTAGAAATTAGCATTAATGGACCTCTGCCTACACATTAGGTTTTAGTAGCCTGAGACAAATTTTCTGATTAAAGCGAATGAAATAGCTTGACTTTATAGAAATAGTTTGAAAAGGTAGACTATAGATGTAGACTTGTCTTTCTCCTCTTTAATCTTTATTTGGGTAGTGACCATAATAAATTGTTACTTAGATAAATTGCTAAAAGTAGACTTCCAGTTGCCATCACTGTGCCTTTGACTTGTACAAAGTTCACCTGGATTATACAATTTAGAGATAAATGGTCTCTTCCTGATCTGGAATTGTGTAGAATGGTTGGCGAGGTGGAAAAGTCTTCTTTTGAAAATTTTAGGATAATACCAGACCATTGGGGAGCTGTAAGCCTGTCAATTTGGCGAGGGTGTAATCGAGTTCCACCATAGGCTCAACGAGTTGCCCTGATATCTTGATTTTTATTTCTCAGTCCCTTATAATTGTTTTTTCTTTTTTTTTTTTTTTTGAGATAGAGCCTCAAGCTGTCCCCCTGGGTAGAGTGCCGTGGCATTACAGCTCACAGCAACCTCCAACTCCTGGGCTCAAGTGAGTCTCCTGCCTCCGCCTCCCAAGTAGCTGGGACCACGGGCGCCCGCCACAACGCCCAGCTATAGATTTTCTTTTCATGTGTGTCCTCATTTGCCTTTAACATCCAGTAAAAATGGATCTGATCGCTATATCACGCATTGGTTTGAAAACCTAATGTTTGGCTTCTGTCTGGTAACTTTGATTTCAAGAGGAGTTGGAATTTAGTTCTTCCAAATAAACAAGTTTGTAAATGGAATTTAAGTAAATATTTCTGAAGTTTACATATTATATATTAATGAAATAATGTAAGTTAACTGTTATTGTGTAACAAGCAGCCCATAAAATATCAGTGGCCTGTAAGGAAAAACATAATTTTTCTCATGTACTTGCAGATCAGCTGGGAGTCTGGGAGTCAGCCGATTCAGACTGGAAGTGGCTGGCTGGCTTTGTGGATCTTAGCTGGACTCATTCATGGCTCTGTGGTTTGGCTGGAGGTCAGCTGATCTAGGCTGGCTGACTGGAGCATCTTGACTGGATGGATTTGCTTTACCTGTTGTTCATCATCTCTTGGGACCAGTGGGCATGTTCAGGCATGAATTTCTCACAGAGATGGCAGAAACACAATAATGCAAACAGAAACCTATGAGATTTTTCAAGGTTTTAGGCTTGAAGAAGTGCAATTTTATTTTTATCTCATTCATCCATTAACCAGCAAGTCACAGTTTTAATGTGAGTAATTGCAAAGTCACAGGACAAAAAATGTGGATACATAAGGCAGAGGAATTGGGGCAGAAGATGTGATTTACCACAAAGAATATCTGAGCCAAGATCGTTTAATGTAATCCATTTTCTCCATTTTCTATTTAAACTCAATGCTTTAAACTTTTCTTTGCAGTGTTTGCCGAGACCGGCACCTTCTATAGGATGTTTATTTAGCATTGTGTTCTAAAACTCTACCTACTTCATCCTGAGTAAGTTAGGGAAACGCCTTTAATTCTAGGGTACTTTTGTTCTTTTGCAAAGAATGCTAATCACAGTGGTCGTTTTTTTAAAAAAAAATTTCACTTTGGCAAGTGCAATTAAGAGCTCGTAATTTTGGAAATATAAAAGTACAATAATTACAGACACACTGAAGACAGATATGCAAATAGAGCAGGTCAGAGGCAACACACCTGGGTCTTCCCTAAACTGCACTAATTACATCAGAAAAACAAAAACAACTAAAATTCTTTTAAAGCAGCAGTCCAGAATATTGAATTAGACCTACAAAAAGCATTTCTCTAGTTGGCAGTTACGTGGACTCTTGAGCATAAACTCACAGAGAACTTTCTAGTTGAAAGAGGACAAAAGGTACATATGGCAGTGTTGACATGTTTGTATTTTTATCCAGAGCATTTTGTCCCAAAGCATATTTGTTTTATGGTAGGAAACTTTTTGATATCTCTCTATCCCTATATCTATATATGGCATATAGATACATATGGCAGTGTTGACATGTTTATATTTTTATCCAAAGCATTTTGTCCCAAATGCTTTGGATATTTGTTTTATGTCAGGAAACTTTTTGACATCTCTCTATCCCTATATCTATATATACATATATCTATAACTCTCTACATATTTGTGTATTATATATATGTGTGTGCGTGTATATATATATGATGCACATAGTTTAGTAAGCTAGAAAAAACATAAATATAGATGACTGCAAAGGTCAGCAAGAGCTAGTTTGTGACAGATCTTGATTTTGCATAGAAACAAGGCAGTGCTCACTCTAGCTTGGGATGAATTGGGGGCTGACGGCAAAGCTGGAGGGGCCTCATGGAGAGTGTCTCTGTGTGAATGCTAAGAGTGACTTGGGAAAGAGTCTTTCTGAAAAGGTAGTGTCAAGTGTATATTGGTGCAATAAAACCTACAAAGCAAAGGCAAGGAAAAGGTGATTCTAAGCGCAATATGCCTATCAACTTAAGTGCTTTGGCCTGAGTTCAGAGAGGGAGGTGACCAGTGAAACTGAGAGTTATGTTTCTCCAAGGTTCGAAGTGATACTGAAGCCATATAGGTGTTTACTCTTCTGAAACCTGTAAGGATAAACATTTGTGTCTCTTTCCTCAAGTGCCAGTGTCAGTATATAGAGTTTGAGGACTGAGCGAACTTCTGTTCCTCATACCTCCTTAGCGAATGTATAAAAAACACTTCTGGTTTCTCTTACTTCTGCTAAGGTGGGTTGGGGGGTGTGGAGTAGCTAACTTTGTTGGGTGGAATTTTGTTCACTAAGATTTATCTACTAGTGGGGGGATGTTTGCATGTGATATGTCTTCTCCCTTCTTTTATTTCCTGGCACCTTTTGTCTCCATGTACTTAGCCTGGGAAGGGCCCACAGCTCATCTTCTAAAGAAGGTCTTGTGAGCTAGAACAGACACAAGAGGTAGGTCTGGTTTTAAGATTAGCAGAGATGATTTCTTTGATTGGTCTCACATTATTCTTACTTTGCTTTACTATGGTCTCTGCACATAGTGTGAAGGAGATAGGGTACATGAGATTAAGGGTGCCCGATAGTATACAGAGAGGAAGCTCCCCATTCCTGTTTGATTCTCACGGGAGCAGACCCACAGTTCTGTCTCAGCAGTCTGTGCAAAGTGAAGCGCCCTCCAGGTCAGAGGAGTTCCAGGTTAAGAGGGAGAAGGCAAGTCAAACCACTTAAATGGAACACTCACTCATTCATTGATGCGCTATACCTAGCTGCTTTCTCAGATTATTTCTTGCTGTATCTTTGGGGTGAGGTTTCCATACAGCAGCCTTTGTCACGATTCACTTCACCTTATCCTTCTCTAAGATTTTTCTGTTCTTTGTGTGACTGGGTGTGTATAGGGCAGGCTGTTTGTACAGATGTTAAGGAGTCAGGCTTGAAGACTCTGCTATGCCTGTGCATGCATCCCTGAGCATGCAAGCCCTAAGATCTGGGTGTGGAATGGGAGGTAGAAGGCTCAGTTTTGGTCTCCTAATTATGATTTCCAGCCATGCTTATCCGAAGCCTAGCATTTTGGAGATTCTCATAGAAATAAATCAGTGCTTCATTTCTTTTTTGTCTTGTGTGTTTCAGCATTCTGAACTGCTAACAAGGTGTGTTTAGCAGAGAGCAACACAGGGAGGCCGTCTGTCTTATCTGCTGCCGCAGAGAACTTAGAATACCACTGCTCCATTGAAGGCACTGGGCAATCAGCAGGGGAGGGCTACCAGCCATATTAGAGATCTGGCAGCTTCAGCAAATCACAGCATGAGCACAGCAGGACTTTAGGGGACATGGACAAAGGATGTCATCAGAGGCAGTATCAGTTAAGTCCCAGATTCACCAGGCTTCACAGAAATTGTGGGGATTGCTTACATTGCCACAGGTAGCCAGAGCTGAAGCCAGGCAAGAGAGAAGGAAGTGGTCGCTAAGA